GATGATTTGCTCAGGAGAAATATTTGAGTTCATATTGAGATATACATATCTTTTTATAGCAGACTTTGGTGTTTTGGCAAATCTGAGCACAGTTTGAGACTATTTTGAGATCTCTGAAACTAGAGTTTATTTCTCAGAAAAATATGAGAAGCAGGAAGTTATGTTAAAGATTGTTTCTGCTACAGGATAAGAAAAATAAAAAAATAATTGCAACTTTTCAGAATTGCAGGATATAAACTAGGAATTGCAAGAACAAAGACTCAAGATTTGTGAAATATAAACAAGTATAAGTACAAGCCAATAATTCAGAAGACTTTTTTTCTTGCATTTCTGAATTTACATCTCACAATTCGGAGTTTTTTTCTCAGATTTGTGAGTTTATATCTCACAATTCTGGTTTTTTTTTCTCAGATTTGTGAGTTTATATATTACAATTCTGGTTTTTTTTCTCAGATTTGTGAGTTTACATCTCACAATTCTGAGTTTTTTCTCCGAATTTTAAATTTACATCTTGCAATTCTGATTTTTTTATTTATTTTTGCCACAGAATGAAAAATAAAAATAGTAAATGCGACTTTTCATCTCACAGTTCTGACTTTTTTCTCACAAATTAGTTTACATCACACAATTCTGACTTTTTTTTCCTGAATTATGAGTTTATCTCTTAATAACAAATCTCACTTTTCTCGCAGTTGTGAGTTTATATCTCACAATTCGAACTTCACAGAATTTTTTGTTTATATCTTGCAATCCTGATTGTGAGAAAAAAAGTCACAATTAATTTTTTATTTATTTATTTTTTATCCAGTGGCAGACACAGGGCAATCTCAATTTGCTCTCTATTTAATGTCATTTATTTATAGGACAAACAATTGAGAAATTAAAGAGATGTTTGAAATTTTTATTTCCTGTATAGGAAGATGTGACAGTCTTTTCTTAGTCAACTTAGTAAGCAGTTAACAGCCTATAAAGTCAGAGGAATCAGAGGTTGCTCTTTCATATCTGTGGAGACTTAATGGCATTTCAAGTATCATCTTAATCTCAAATGTTTAATAATCTTTAGAAGTGAATTTACTTTTATAAAGTCAATAGTTGTCATACATGGTATACTGAATGTGGATAACAGTTCAGAACACTTGGTTTTGGATTTGATGAGAAATGTTTGAGCTCATCTTGAGAGCTGTTTAGACTTGATTGCAAATTGGAATCTTGAAAAAAAAAATATTTCAGAGTAAAAGTCTCAGTTCGCTCTTAATGTATTCTGTCTGGGGAAACAGTTATGTGATTTTCTTACATCAGATAAAATAGTCTGAAGTTGTTCTTTCACATTTGTTTAACTCTGAGTTCTTTAATGAAGGTAATTGAATAAAGCTTTTTAAAGGGGTCATATGATGCGATTTCAATTTTTTCTTTCTCTTTGAAGTGTTACAAGCCCTTGGTGCATAAAGAAGATCTGTGAAGTTGCAAAGACTAAAGTCTCAAATCCAAAGAGATATTCTTTATAAAAGTTAAGAGTCAGCCACACCTACCTAAAACGGCTCGTTCTAACACGCCCCCACATATCTACGTCACGATGTGGGAAGATTTGCATTAATGTACAGTATGTGGAAAATAATGTGTTTTTTTTTACCTTAAACCGCATAAACACATTTCATTACACCAAATACACTAAATAATGTTATTTTTAGCAGCATCATATGACCCCTTTAACTCAAAGCCCTCACTGACCCGTGTATTTAGTTTGGCTCATCTCAGCACGGCACAGTGAATTTGGTGTCAGGTGATGTTTTAATCTTGGAGGTACGCTTTTACATAAACACTTCCTCATGATTAAGAGGAAACTAAATCACGACAGCTGGGTTTACAGCACATTTAATTCAGAAACTGAAAACAGATCTTTTTTTCAAACAAAACCAGAATTAAGAGCCTGAATATTCAGCCTGAATATTTTTCTTGTCTACTGGAAGTTTCCCTCTTCAATCTAAAGCCAATGCTGTTTCAAACCCATATGAGGTTAGTTATTGTCTGTGGAACACAAAAGGAGATTTTTTTCTTTTCTTTTTGATTCATGAAATCTCACAAATTCTGCTTTTGTGCTCCATGGACAAAATACCAGCTTATGAAATTAAATAACATGAAGGTGAGTAAACAATGAGAATTTTCCTTTTTGGGTGAACTGTTCCTTTAACAAGACACTAGAATAAACAATCTCTCTGAAAGAAAGCAAGGTGTTTGTGATAAACTGTCACTTACAGAGTCTTTGGACTTTATCTCGTCTCACTCTCTTCTCAGGAGAGAGCGGTTGTATTCTCAGTGGCCTTTATGTTAGGAGAGAGGATTTAACACAGAAGAAATAGGCCACCATTAGCCATCTAAGCAGCTCGAATGTGTTTATGGAAGCTATTTGCTGGCTGTTTTTGTACTGCAGCCTCGAGGTCTATGTCCCGGTCATGATCCCAGCAGGGACATAATCTGCGTCTGAAGTGCAGGAAGTGCCACAACAAAACAGTTGGAGTGACTCGGAGGGGTTAGTTAAGAAGCAAGCCGAGCATGAAGCGTTGAATGCTTGACTCGACACGTGAGAAGAGAAGGAAAACATGCCGAAGCCCTCTGGCTGTCGCTCACTGCCGCTGAGAAGAGGCGGCTTTTAAATAACATGCCACCGACACTCCTTATCATTTTTTTTTCTCCTGCGAAAAAAAAAGATTCTAAATGTCTCCTCTAGAGTTTCAGAAGAGATTTCAACAATGACAAACTCTGCTCAGATTTGCTAAGCTTCTGAACATCACAGCGCTTAAAGCGTTTTCACTCCCAAGATACAATATGAAGCCCGTTTCCGCCACGAAAAAAGGTAATTGCGACTTTTTCCCCTCAGAATTCTGATTTTATATCTTACACTTGTGATTTTTTTCCCCCTATGAATTCTGAGCTTACATCTCGCAAATTCAGTAATTCACTTTTTATTTTATTTTATTTTTTAATTCCGCGAGTCGATAAGTCCATGCTTTCAACGAGAAACCATCAGACTGACGCGAATTTTTTTTTTGTAATGAAATTACAGGCCTAGTCATGCATGTGACACACAGCAGCCACTATAGGGCTGTATAACTGATGTAGGCTTATGGTTTTATTTAATTTCTCCTTTTTATTCGAAATATTTCCTAACGTGTTAGGCCTATGAAATATCTTGATTCTCAAACATGTGTAAGTAAATGCATTTTGCACCTTTATAGATCATGTTAGTTGATTTTATAATGGGCATGGGCAAAGTCAGAGGCATCATGCCCATTCAAACCAAGGGGGCACATGCCCGCTCAGATTTCTGAGTCAAGTGGATTTTGAATGCAGCTTCCAAAAGAGAAAAATAGCTGAATAATATTTTTTTAATATATTTGATACAAACAAACGGGTGTGATGTGCCGCACATCATCAGCTGCTGCTAAATTCAAATTTGCGTTCGCTGGCTGGCGCTGAGCCAGAGACAGACGCGTTTTTACAGCGCTGAGCTTTATAACCAATCACACACGATTCTGTTGAGCGTATGAATGCAATGGCCAATCAGATGAGTCATCGCTGAAACACCGGAGTTTTGTTCACTGCGTGCATCGCTGACCGAATTCTGAATTCTGCTCTTGCAAATTAATTCTCTCATCAGAAACAACAATGTGAAGATGTGCGTGCGATGTAAGTAAGATATTAATTTCACAGTGTAAACAGCTTCAGTGATTATAATAGAAGTGTGAGAGTGTTTGAACTCTGACTAGCTGTCAATGATAATGTTCTTTGATAATATAAATGTTCTTTGTTTTTATTAAATTCACGCTAAATACAAAGTCAATCGTATTACAAATATTTTATGGCATGTAAAAAGATGGATTTTATGTGTAGTTAATATATTACACTAATATTACTATAATTTTTTCATTTTTTCATTTTATTTGACATATTCTCAAAATGTGCTCTATTGCAGTCTTACCAGTTAATTTGTGTGTGTGTGTGTGTGTGTCTATTTTGCACTCTTGATATTTTAAAGTGTCACCCCTTGATTGCTGTGCACTTTTTTTTTCTGCACAGTGGCTGATTTGTAGTTTTACCACCAAAAGATTATCTTGAGTTTTCGTATTTGCCTGTCATTTTTGACCGAAAAGGAGCCAAGTTTGACTTTTTTTTTTTTTTGACCCTTTAACACTTTTTTTGTGTTCACATAGTTCAAAATATAAATTTTTTTTGGTCAAAAATGACCGAAGAGACCCAGAGGGTTACACCCAGCATTTCTCAGTGAGAAAAAAAGTCGGACCCCTTATTGCAAAAAAAAAAACAAATATATATATATTAAATACTAGGCCTGTCGCAATAATCAATATATCGACTTATCGCGCAATATATGTACATGACCTCAATAATTTTTGGTGACGCAATATATCGCCCATTATATTTACTTAAAAATTAATGTCACCATATTTTGTACATTCCACTTGCGCCTGTGTCTTTTGCAGCTTCTCGTACATAACGTGGTGCAGTCATGAGGTGCTTATCGCAATTATTTCTGGGGCAATATATCGCACAACAAAAAGCTGTTATTGTGACAGGCCTATTAAATACATGCTACAAACACACATAAATACGTTCCGATCTTGCAGTAGCCTACATTTAGGTAAATGTGGATAGCCTACTACAGACATTTTTAATGATTTAATAATGTATAATTTTTTAGATATTGTAATTAATTAATTAATTTATTTATTTATTTTTTGAACATTGAAAAGTATGTTCCTCGCTGACGTGTTTCAAAAATACACAAATAATGGCCAAAATACATACTGGTAAGAAATGATCATAAATATTTATATATATATATATATAACAGTCTTTAGAAAGCTGAAAAATATAATATTAGCACATTTGTTCCCAATTTAATTTTACTTTATATATATATATTATTTCCAATATTATGTTTAAAACACCAGCTTAAAAACCTCTGGACTACAGACAGCTGAATCTGTTTTCTATCTGTTCTAATGAAAATCTTGTCCTCTCCAGCACACAGACAGAAGAAGGTGGAACTAATGCAGCCTTGTAACACAGAGTATCCCGGCTTCATGTACGACACTTCCATCAGAGAGACCAACAGCATCATCAAATGTGGCCGTTGTCAGAAGTACGTCCATCAGTCAGACTGTCTTCAGATGAGTGGATTTGTGCCAGTAACAATTTGTCAATGTCTCTCTCTTTCTCTGTCATATTTCAGGATGTTTGTCCTACAGCAGGTTCCTAACAGTAACCTGGTCATGCTGGTGGTCCAGGCCGACTGCGACTGCTCCCGACAGTACGCTCCCATTACACTCGCGCCCAGAGAGGTCAAATATATCCTTCCATGATGATGAGTTTCTTGTATTTGAAATGTGGTTTGGTTAAACCTTGTGAAACTGAGGTATTCTTAACTCCTTTGAACATAACGCCACAGTTAAGTGCAACAGGATATATATATATATAATTTTTATTTTTTTTTGTATGGGACACAATAGATGCAGCACCTGTAAATACTGAGAGTATTTTTTAAATATTTACAATAACATTAACAAAATTGCATGTACAAAATACGATAGTAGGCCTTCTGTACAATTACAATAGAATATATAACAATTCAGTCATTTTGCTGAAGTACAGCCTAAACATCTTACTGATTTTTTTATTTTTATTTATTTATTTATTTTTTTGTAGAAAAGTCTTGCTCTGACCAAAGTGACTTGAATGCACCTGACTTTGTAATTAATTATGAATTCCAAACTCAACAAACTTCAGGCCGTATGATCTGAGCTGTTATCCAAATTCATTTTAAATGTCTTTTCTGGATGTGAATAATTGGCTCATTTTTGTTTATTTCTTCGAATGAATTTTAGGAGATACATATGAGAAAAAAAGTTGAAACAACTGAGAGCTCATCTCATCTCCTGAACTCAACCGAGAGAGCAATAACATTTTCATCTGGCAGGTTAAAACAGACTTCAGGGAGTTTTTTTGTTTTCTTTTCTTTATTTCTGATTGTGAATGTAGATCAAAGTCGCAGTGAATTAGAGGTCAGTGATGGAGTCAGTACACCGGCTTCAGATTCACTCAGAATGAAACCTGCCAGGAAAATGATATTGTATCCATTGCACAAGAGAACTCTATGAACTGTTGTTTTACAGGGGACAGATTGATTGCTTTGCAGAAATGGCTGTTGCGGGCATGTGAGTAAATGCATCTTGGCTTCCATTTGATCGACTCATTTGTGCTTTATTGTTTCTTTTGCTTTGTTGCAGCTGCCCAGAGAGCAATATAACAACATAAAAACTAAAACCACTCTGTTTAATTTGATTTTGAAGATGATATGAATCAAACAAGGGCTTCACGCACCAACACCTTGACTGTTTGTAACTAAACACTTAAACTCAGGTATTTGGCTCAGACGTGGGCTGATGTTCTCAGCTGTGTTTGTATATCTTGTTCTGTGATTGTTGACTGGTTCTGTTCACTCCACACCATGATCCACCGCAGATCTTGAACCCTGTGGTAGGCATCAACTCTAATGAACTTTAAGTAAACTAATCTAGACACTTCTGTGAGGTACCAAAAGTAAAAAAAAAATTCTAATTTTCTTTAAAACTACAAACCTAAATGAGAGGATCGTGAAGCTTTGAAGGCATGACAGCAGGATCGAGTGCAGTGATTTACTGTCAGCGTGCATGTTGCGGCTTCTTCTGCCTTCAAGCGATGATCATATTTATTAGGTAAGTGCACATGAACGTCACCACAATGTCATAGTCACCACTGGGAAGCTGGATTTTCTTTGATTTGTTTTCTTGGCATTGGTAGTTGTAAATGTTGAGTCTACAATTTATTTTGTGCGCATTTTGTGTAGTGCCGATGAAGAACAGTGAAAATCTTCAGCTTCACTCTATTTGTGAACTATGACAATGTTGACTGAATGACATTTAAAAAAATGTGTTCCCTCACAATATACATGTATTTGAGAAAATTGTTTACTGTTTATGATCATTTCAGAGCTTATTCTTCTTTCAGTTTTTCTAACATATCAAATCAATTTTTTTGTCTTTAGGATCTTTTTATTGGAAAACAAAAACAAAATTCTTATTATTTATTTATTATTTTTTTGCAGTATTAAAAATATCATACATTGGGGTGACATTCAGTGGATGTTTCCATGACATTTATGATTTGATGTTGATTTGTCGTACAGAAGTTTTTTGTCATTTAAACTGAATACACAAAATAAATATATTTTAGTATTTTGTAATTAAATAAATGAGCAACATTGATCATGTGACTCTTTGTACAGTCAGATGTTCTTGCTTCCACTGAAGCTCAAGATACTGTTTTGATCATCCAAAAACATGCTGCATGATCATCAGGTTTTATTGAGTTGTCATTAAAGGAATAGTTCACACTAAAATGAAAATGTACTCACCCTCAGGTTTTCCAAGATGTTGAAGAGTTTGTTTCTCCATCAGAACAGTTTTGGTGAAATGTAGCATTACATCATTTGCTCACCAATGGATGCTCTGCAGTGAATGGGTGCCGTCAGAATGAGAGTCCAAACAGCTGATAAAAACATCACAGTAATCCACAAGTATTCCACACCACTCCAGTCCATCAGTTAAATGTTGCCATTGCTTGCAGCTAAAATATGAATATGCGAGTCATAAAAGCAATATTGCTTACTACATTGAGAAAGTTATCTAGTCTGAATCTGAGAAATATGCTCAGTTCACGCACCATTTAGAAGCCAAAACCGTTCAGAATAAACATGTAGGACTTTTTCCACTGGAAGAATCATTATTATAGCTCATAGACTGGTATTTTGGCCAGAAGCAACAATTTGAAGTTAAGATTTAGTTTTTATCAGCTGTTTGGACTCTCATTCTGACGGCACCCATTCACTGCAGAGCATCCATTGGTGAGCAAGTGATGGAATGCTACATTTCTCCAAATGTGTTCCCATGAGGAACAAACTCTTCTACCAAATATGAACATGAATTTTTTTTAAATTCATGTACGTCTTTAAAATTTTTCTTTATAAAAAATTGTGGATATTATAATTTGTAAGAAAAAAAAAAAACTATTTTTCACAGATGTTTCTAAAAATCTATAACAAACACATCAGGTCTTGTGAAAGCGTTTCCCCATAATGCCATATTAGAGTGGGTGAAACATATTTGTCCATGTCCCATTTCGAGTCAAACCTTCCCAGGTGTCCCCTGTAACAGTCCCAGATGTCCCTGGGGTTTTTCCATCGCTTTCCACAAATTGTAATGTAATCAATAGTAATGCCTTCAGTCCTCGAGCGTCATGTCATTGAATGAAAAATCTGTACTGGCTCTCCGGGGTTGCTATAGATCTCTCAGGATGGGCCGTGTTCAGACGCAGCCGTCTGAGAGAGATCTATTGGGTAATAACACCAGAGACTCTCATCGCAATCATTATTACGATTGCTGTTACGCAAGCTCATGAGCAAGAGCCAAGTGTGATTCATCTAATGGCTGGAAGGTAAACAGTGGTAGAGAGTGTATATCATCTCTTTCAGGTGTCGTTACTATGTACTTTAGAGTCCAGAGGACCGTGATTTAATGATCTTTCATGTACACGACAGACGCTGCTTTCACTGACTCTTTGTTGGTCTTACCTGAATGCATTCTTATGCTGAAAGGACACATTGATCTGATGTCTAGATAACTAGATTTAGTTTAATAGAATAACTGTAAATCCAATGTAACTGGTATCTCATAAAACCTTTCTGCAAATCCTTGGTTATTTATACCCTTCAAAAGTCTGGTGTCAGTAAGGTTTTTTTTTTTATTTTGATGTTTTTATTCAGCAAGGATGCATTAAATTATGGAAGCTCGTTTCCACCAGAGATTAAAAAAAAATAAGTAAAAGCAACTTTTTCATCTCACAATTCAGTCTTTTTCTCGCAATTATGAGTTATCACACAATTCTGATTCAGCTTCTTTTTTTTTTTTTTTACAATTTTGACAATATTGTGAGATAAGCCTCATTTATCTAATATATCGATTACCTAATTTTATTTTTATTCTGCGATGGAAAAAAAACAAACAGAATTGCAAGATATAAACTTTTTCTCATAATTGCGAGAAAAAAGTCAAAATTCTGAGTCTATATTTTGCTATTCTTACTTTTCTCAGAATTGCAAGTGTATATATTTTTAATCTTTTTTTTTATATATATCTTGCAATTCTAAGAAAGAATTGTCAAAATTGTGAGATGAAAAGATTTGGTAAGACTTTACAATAAGGTTCATTAGTTAACAGCATTAGTTAACATGAACTAAGCATGAACAATACTTCTACAGCATTTATTGATCTTAGTTAATGTTAATATTTCAGTTACCAAAGATTTGTATTTATTCTGTGGTGGAAATATATATGTAGAATATATATTCATGAAAAGATTGTAAAATGTGTTTACACAAAAATATTAAGCAGCACAACTGTTTTCAACATTGATAATAATCAGAAATGTTTCTTGAGCAGTAAATCAGCATATTAGAATGATTTCTGAAAGATCATGTGACACTGAAAACTGGAGTAATGATGCTATAAATTCAGATTTGATCACAGCAATAAATTACATTTTAACAGATATTCACATAGAAAACAGCCATTTTAAATCATAATATTTTACTGTTTTTACTATGTTTTTAATCAAATAAATGGAAAGCAGAATAGACTTCTTTCAAAAGCATTTAAATACCTTACTGACCCCAAACTCTCACACACACACACATATACAGGTGCATCTCAGTAAATTAGAATGTCGTGGAAAAGTTCATTTATTTCAGTAATTCTTTTATTTCAGAGCATTGGGTCTTAACAGAGTTAAACAATATTCTCTTAGAAACTATCATCCACTCCTTACGGGTATAAATGGTTAACTGTAATTATAAATACACAATAACAGCACTGAAATGTATAAACAAACTTGTTTCATTTTAGGTCCAGTTTAATCTCTGGTCATGTGTAAAATCCAATGGAAGTGGTTCACAGGGTCCAACAGTAGACTGGCACAGTGAGAAGACCAACCAAATGAGCCGGAAACAAACACTCACAAACTAGAAGTTGGGTAAAAAAAAAAAGGCAACGTCAGCCAACGTCAGCAACAAGGCAGAATCATATCTGAACAGTAGCCATTCACACATGGACTACTTTGTTTTCAGGAATGCTTGAGAAGCTTTAATCACAACACTTGACGTACAGTATTCAGTCGGCTCTCAAAGACCATGCGCACACTGCAGGGAAATCACTCGTTCACTTTTTCACTCATAAATTACTTCAAAATTATTACAAAGACATGGCAAGTAGCACATTGAATTCAATGTGAAATTTAAAGGTAGAAAGCCTAAAATTCATCAAAAGTTGGTTAAACCAATGGTTCTCAGCATTGGCAAAGCTTCCAAGGTTACTTTTAAAAATTTCAATTTTAATTAATTTTACATTTCTGCACCTGGAAAGGTCATGTAAATTAATGCAATCTTAAAACACTTAGGGCATTTTGATAATGAATATGTATATTTTTTATGGCATTGCCATCCTTATCTTTAATCCTTCAAATTAAGAGGGGCCTTCAAATGATTTTAATTTTAATTAATTTAAAATTTCTGTACCTGGAAAAGTCGTGTAAATTAATGCAATCTTAAAACATTTATGGCATTTTTATTATATATATATTATAATATATATTTATGTATAATTAAATATATAATTTAAATATATAGGATAAAGATTAAAAAAAAAAAAAAAATGTTTTAAAATTTTTCCTCCAAAATATTTTTTGAGA